CATCACAAGCTGTTTCAATTGGGGACTCTAGCTCTATTGTCCAATCTACTGACGATGCTGAGTGTATAATATTTTCTATATTTGCAATCCAGACGTTAGGTTAGGGATGGGTTGACGCGTGCTCGTTTTTGACAACTGTATGCAAGTCAAAGGTTAGAACTGCATGGTCACTTTTACCTAGGGGTGGCATGTAGTTGAGACTCGTGACGTCATCCTTGTAATGGGTCAATATGAGGTCTAGTACGGATGATGCAGAGTCCGGGTCGTGCCTAGTAGTGTAACAGATCCGAAGCCTATTTAAATCACTTCGTGCTGCACCCATAGTGACTTCGGCATCATTCTCTCACCAGTCTCTCCACCCGAAAACTTATAATTTCTAGGTCCTTTTTGCCACCATCTAACCTAAGTTTTAGTTCATTTTCGGCTTCTCATCTTTTTATACGGTTCAGGAGGGGCAAGTGCTTACGAACAAAAACTCCTGAACCCTTCAGTTCATGTCCATTCGGTAATATTAAGTCCCGTTCATTGGTAGATTTAAATACTACTTTAAACAGCCTGGTTTGATGCTGTTTCAAATTCATTTGGCTACTTAGTCTATACACATTTAGCAAGGTGACTCCGGAGATATCCTGAGACATAGGCGGATTCAGTAGCTGTCTTATCATCCCGATGTCATGCTCAAAACGAGTTTTAGGTTCTGAGCTTTCACTCTACTTCGTTCTGTGAAAGATAAATCACCTATCACTGTGATTAGTCTTTAATTTTTCAGCTACTTTTTTTGAGGGGGGGGGAGTGGGTTGGATTTTCTTTAATAGCGTTGTGCCGTTTCTTTTTCTTGACCTGTATCCGTTCATAAACCTTCATTGGAGTAGCAACCATAGTCGCGTCAAACACACTGTGGGATTCCGGAATGTTATCGACGACTTAGGCAGTCAGGTTGTTTCTTCTGCTAGGAAGAGATCTAGCCTTGCGATTGGAATTTCTAGGCATTTCCTGCCGACTACCATTTAGAGGACGGGGGACAGAGGAAACCATGTTTTTGAGTTTTTATTTAGAACAAAACTCTTTGAGGTCGTTATTTCCTTCTTTGATCCATGTGAGTCAGTTGTTACCCAGCTTATTTGAGGTGGCTTCACATCAATTTGTGTATCGATAGAGCGAGTAATGTCCGATGTGTCTCGACCTCATTTGCTAATACACTTCTTGGCAGCATTTACCACTAAAATGGCCTCGGTTAGCAAGCTGTTTGAGTACGAGTAGCACTGCTGAAAAAACCTCATGCAACCATTTTTACTAGACCGTTTGAAAACGACAGGCGTTAGATTCGTGCAAACTTTGTGATAGAATCCTTTACACTCGTCGCACTGCATGTCGCTTTCATCGGGGAATCGGCAGCCTGGGCGTTGACAATTGCTTTTCTTGAACTGTACAGCCGTCATACAGAGGTTTTCGAAAAGAAACTAGATACAATAATACCCAGAGACAAAAGAAATTGATGACCAAAATGTGGAAAACTGTAAATTGTTATAATCAAAATTGCTAACAAATACAATAGCAACAGAGTACTAAAAAGTAAAGACGACAAACTATTTTAGAGACGATAACGATACTCTTATCGGATACTTTAACTGAAATAAATTCAATTGAAGTGTAAACAGTAGTCTTGATACGTAATAATCGATCAAAACAATAAAATTTACTCAGTGAGGAAAAATACCGCGGTCCTTTTTAAATAGCGCGCTTAGAAATAATAAATATCAGAGAAATATACAACGTGATAAAATAATCAAACATAATGGCACAAGAAGTGCATAAAAAATTCGAGGAAACCTATGAAAAATGATTGTAGAAAATGAGAGTCAAATCTTATCACATTGCTTTGAACATGCTCAAGCTTATTCTCTTCATATCATTCATACATTTCTTTTTCCTGACTAATGCATAATTCAGAAAAAATTTACATTAACGTTCTTCACATTTGCCAAACCAAAAATATTAACAGTTCTTCTTCCATCTCCCTATTCAGATATTGTTTTACTAACATATTTAATCAGGTGGTTTCATCAACGATATGAGTAGCCCAAAATCAGAACTAATGACGGCGCAAAAATGTGCAAAATAACGATGAAATTGTCATGAACAATTCCTCGAAAACGACATACATTCATATTTATATCTAATACAAAACACTTCGGTCAGAACAGATAGAGTCTTAATTTTCACAGTTTTCTGGTAGATGCTGTCAATTCACGTATATGAAACAAATCGTATATCTATTTCACGTTATTGAACTGATTAGATTTTATTTTCGTGTTGTGCTCTCTTACAAATCATTCTTGTTTTATTTTTCTCATACAACTTTAGTCACCTTCAACTTTTTCAACTAGTTGTGTTATGTTTATATTAAATCGATATATACTCCGATTGACCATGTTTTATATCGTTTCATGAGAATTCTAATATATTGTTGATAGTATTATAACTCGTACTAAATAACTGACATTATGTGAACTAAATTATTTCGATTGTATTATAGATTATTTTTAGGTTAGTAGTGACTATCTTGTTTGCATGCAAACCTGTCATAATCGAAAGCACGTTCAATCAAAATAAACAAAGTGGATAATTGAGGTTTCGCTTTATTCCCATTGGCTGTCGATGGGAATTCGGTTTATCAGTTTACTTACAATGGCTTACGAATCTAATGATTAGATATTAATTAGACACCTGAAAATGTAGTATTTCACAAAGAGGATTTATCAGAAAGGAAGTCATCTTAATCAACTGACTGAAAAGTGTCTTTTGAAGATTATAAAATTTTCATATTTTAATTCATCAATTACTATTAGCGGGAATATCATCAAATACCTGGACGCGGTGGGTGTAAGACAATTATACGTTGCAATCAATGGAAGATGACATCGCTGTACTGTGAATCGATTATGTTTAGACATTTACACTGTGGGATAACCAGTAAGTGGTCTTGAAGTTAAGCGTCTGCGAACGAGGTAGAGTGGTTTTTATTCAATTCTCTGTGGCGAGATCGCGGATGTCTACTGCTTAAGAGTCCAGTACTTTCACGTTTTCACACGTGAACTAGCTAGGATTTTTCGGAGCAATCAGATAAACAAACTTCTGCTTTGGGGAGGTACTGGGTGATTTATCTAGAGCGGGAATGATTGACTCACTACTCAGCTAACAAAATACAACACCACTAAGAATGTTCAAATTTCGAATCCACACCTCTGATTTATCGTCTTCTTCAGATAACTGTGTCGTTCACAATTTGTGTTTTTTCTGTTTTTTTGTTCTCCAAAATGAAATATACTTTAGTTTCATGCTAAAAATCAGAGTATTGTGGTTCGTGCAAAAATTTAGTGAACAATTTTGTGATCAATCGGCAACTATTAGAAATAAGAAAATGCTGCTATGACTGTACGGTAAAATGTCAGAAAAATATGATTTTAATGATCTTTACTTCTTAATTCATTTTTTGAAGTAATCCCTTGTAACTAATAAAAGGATGAGATGTTTCAGTTTTCAAAAAGGATGCATCTCTCAGGTGGTTGAATAAATGCTCATCTTGAGCTATAAAAAAGTAACCATCAGAGTACGGATGTAGCTAGTTGAAAAAGTGATCTGTGCTTAGATGTTTGTTGCTAGAATTTGACCAACCGATTCATTGACTTAATTGCTTCCCAACTTTAGCTATGATTATTATAAGAATTCATGTACATTTATTTTGCCAGGACAAAATATAGCAAGTGTACCTGAAATTAAATCCCCCCTTTTGTTCAGTTGAACTTTACAAATCCACTAAAATATTTCAGTTTGTTGCACTGACTTCTTTTATTGGCTCTCGCGAGTTGTCAACCGGCCTAGAGACTGGATCGGAATCCGATTGTTAGCTGTCTCCAGTTACAGTAAAACATTTAATACTATGGGATAAACTTGACTCCAGAATTGGTTGCTTGGAGATGAACATCTTGTTTTCAGGATATGGTTTTAAATGCTGCATAGCTTAGAGATTACTGATTCATTTCATAGTAAAGTCACTCATGAAAATATTTAGCGAGTTGCATGATATAAACACGTTTCAGTTTACCACTTTAACGTAAAGATGAATCACCTACTGATATTTGCTTAATTGAGAAATAATTACATATATTGTTTTATTTGAAATGTTTTAATTTATAATATTTACGGTCATATACATAATTTATAAGTTTTATTTCATTAAGTCAATGCTGTGTGCCTTTTTTCCCTATTATCAATCCAGTTGTCCAATCCACATGATTTTCAGCTAAATATCTAGTAATCATAAATGCACCTGATTTCAACTGATCTTTTCCTGGATTAATATGAATGTTTTTTAAATGTGTTAGTGTTCTGTTAAGTCTTTTTAAAATAATACCTAAATATACATCGTCGATTCGCAGTTGTTTAGTGAATGGCATTGCAAACGATGCATCATGCACAACATCGGCTCCTAAAAAGTAACCTATTCCTAAGAAATAACGTGGATAGTAGTCCCATGGGTATTCATTGTAAGAAACTGCCCACCGTCCACCATATCCGTTTCTAGGTCTGTCAACTTTCACAAAATATACAGATCCAGCCGCAAGTGATTTCATTTGAGAGTAATTAAATTTCCTTATCAAACTGATCGTATTGTTTGGATGAAGTAGTTAGTCATCTTCAATAAATAAGAATAACGGTGACTGAGAGATACAGAAGTTCGTGGCCCAACGTAAAGACAACATCGTTTTAGTTGTCAAATTAAAATATGTATCGTGAAAAGCACCTATTAACATATCATCATATATTTTACTTTCATTACTTAAAATCTTGACTGCTGACCATTTCGAAACATCATGTTTACTTGATAATTGCATCGCGTCTATAGTTGGGGTAGTCATAAAACCGTCAAGGTGGTAAGTATTTGTTTCGTTTGGTGTTGGCAATCCACCTGTAAACACGAACTGTACTCTGAAATTCTTCTACATATCTTTATTCAGATAAGTCTTTCGGGCAAACACTCGCTGTTCAAAACAATAAACGCGTGACTTCACAATCACCACAAGATCAACATTTTTAGTCCTAGAACAAGGATCGCAGGTGCGTTTTGGTAAGCGAATAGCAATTAAGTCATTGTTGTTGCATGGTATCTAAAATAAAAAATAAATAGAAAATACACGAGTCGGAACGTTTATTCGAAAGGAGTGATATAATAATACATCTAAATGAAACAGTTGATGATCAGTTTACTAGTATATCAAATTAAAAGACCTCTTGAATGCATCAGTAAGATACCAGTGAAGATTAAGATATCCAAATAAACTATCATGATTAGTTTCTCGGAAAATCAAACATTCTGAAGCTTTAAAATGTTAAAGGCTATACATGGTAACAGTTTCTTAGTTTAACTCAGCATTAAATAGAATTTAAATAATTAGAAATAGATGCCTGCAAAGTTCCTGTGACAATTATTCATTGAAACACCATTAACATGAAAACTATTGTTTTCTTCTACCCGATCTTAGTAAATTGTTGATGAGACTGTTTAGATATTTGCTAGAAATTGTATGTAACGAGCTCAATATCAAATGTATGGGCTTAAAACACTGCCCTTTTGGTGCGTTTTAAAGTATAATGAAATATTTTGTTCATTGGATGTTGACTGATAAAATTTGCTCTGTTGATAGTTACTTAATATTTTGTTAAAATGATCATTTTTCAGTTATGAAATTATGTTATATTACAGCGATTGATAACCGACTGTATTATAAAGCTTGTAAACATAACTACTTTAAGTAATAAGTAATAAGATGTATCTTCACGTGGAACTTTTCATGATAATTGCCTTCAAATAAAGAAATTATATATATATATATATATATATATATATATATATATATTCTGTTATAATTTGTTTGAATCATTAATGGTAAGTTAGTTTCACTCCTTAAATGCTAGCCAAATATATGAATTTCATTTTCAAATAGGAAATTTCCCTTTGGCTGTAGGGTGTTTTGATATGGTGGGCAGTGTCATACGGTTGCAATGACGCATGACATTTAGTCACATTTAAAGGAGTAATTTTGTTAATTATATCTGTTGATCAAAGACGGTTACTTTTTTAATTTTGTGTAGTCATATTTATATAGTAAATTACTTATTAAAAAATGTCAAGTACTACTCAATTTAATGTATACAAATCTAATTATCAATCATTGTAAAAATATAAAAATTAATGTATCCATCTATTTGACCCATCATGAAGGTCCATTAAATTTTTATTTATCGTGTTCCCATTCTTACTTTCGTCATCTGACTATCAATTTCCAGTAGTAAATACCACGTTTTATCATCACTTACAACACGATCTCTATGACAAAATAAAAAAAACATAAAGATTTTCAAAAACTAAGCAAAATATCAACAACATAAATTGTTCTATTTACTAAATAAAAGAGAAAATGAAATTCGAAACACGATTCAGAGGAAATAATTGATTTTCGTGATTATCTACACTTTGTAAAGCTTATTGACTATTGATAAATTTCGAAGAAAACTTATTTCGCGAATTCACTACATTTTACAACACTTTGGTAAAGTAATTTGTGTGTTTACAAGGTCATCTTGCATATATATATATATATATATATATATATATATATATATATATATATATATATATATAGAGAGAGAGAGAGAGAGAGAGAGAGAGGGAGAGAGAGAATACTAAATCTCAGAGTAATAACCTTTGTTTTACACACATCGTTCAATGAAAGACCAGATGAGATCGCTTGTAATGCTTCTGTAACATTAAATTGTTTAGGATGATGTTCCATTAAAATAAATGTTATCGGTTCACCAATTTCATTTCTTGTCAATATAGGATAGTTAATGTAACTTTCATTTTTCATTGAATAATCATCATTAAAATGATAAATTATACGATTATCATAACGAATATTATAATGAATTTTTAAATCCAATAATACTGTATTATTATTATTATTATTATTGTATTGAATTTGATCATTTTGATTGTAGAAAAACATAAAATGAGTAAACGAGTTTGTTATTGTAATTTGTTTTAAATAATCATAATGATGATGAATAAATTTTGATTGATAAATAAAATTCATCCATATTATTTTAGATTGGGTTATTTCTTCTAATTTATTATATGAACATATTGTATAATTTCTTAAATATTGTAAATGATTTAAATTATTTCTATTTAAAATATAAATAATTGAATAAAATAAAAATAAATTTATATAAATAGCATATATAATTCTTTTGAATTTAATACTTATTTTAATTATTAATCTTTACATCTTTATACAGATTGATTTGATGGTAGGTTCAACGGATTGTTTGTATAATTTCATTTGAATACGAATTTGATCCAATCCTGTGGGGAGAGAGAGAAAGATTTCAATTATCCAAACCATGCCATTCATTTTGTCATAGAGGGATCCAGCGAAAAAATCCTAAATCAATGGGACGACATGATAGTATAATATCAAACAAAATAATTCTGATTGAAACTAACTTAAAAGCTAGTAAATTATAGTCGAACTCCGGTGAATTATTGACGATCGAAACTCGCCTAAGTTGTATATATATATATAAGTATTGTTACCCACAGAATGATACATTCGGCATTTTACTATTTTTTTTTAATGAAGAACTATTGAATTTAAATTTTAAATAAATTTAAAAATGAAAATAAAATTCATATTCATACTTTTGAGTCATATGTGTATTTTAATACAAATTTTCAACGAGTCTTTTTTTTAGTACCTTCAAAATGATCGATATTAAGAGTGTATTTCATGATAAGATTTAAATAAATGCTTTATTGGTTAGTGACCCTCAGAATTATTTGAAATGACTTTGATAAAATAAAATCAATTTTCAGTTGAATAGAAAGAATTCGGTAAGTATCAATGAATATTTTTAAAAAAAATTTAAAATAGCTAGAAGTTTGGATAAAGATTAAAATTTATGGGTAAGGTAAAGGCTTATATGTAATGGTTAAGATTAGAATGAAATAATGTTATAACCATATAAGTGAATATATAACCAATTATAGATAAGAACTTTCGTCTAAATTTGAACGAATAGTTTCACAATATTTGGGCGCCGAGTTAATGTGAGACACTACAAAGGAAGAATGTATTTGTAAAATCTCAGCGAAAGAATTTGAAGTAATTCCAACGTTTCGCCTGGCAATCTGGTTCAAGCTTTTTCAAGGAAAATATAATCAAACAACGGATATTCGATAATTTTGTTGTTTGATTATATTTTCCTTGAAAAAGCTTGAACCAGATTGCCAGGCGAAACGTTGGAATTACTTCAAATTCTTTCGCTGAGATTTTACAAATCCATTCTTCCTTTTTAATATAACCAATTAGCTTTTTAATTTTAAATGTCAAATTTATTTACGTTCGTTACTTCTTATAAGTTTATCGATTTTAGACTTCTTATTCACTAAATCTTTGTAGGTTTATACTCGGTCCATGATTGAATTTACTAACTATTATAATACATCTATTTAATTCATCTGTAAAGCATACTTTTACTATAACATAGAAAAAAGTCACGATAAACTAATTATTGGCTAATATTTATAAAGTTTCTAACCTTTTTTTAAAACAGTTTCGTTAGTGTTTCATAGAATTTGTTGATAACCGTGAGATGGTTTAATTGAATAGTGAAAAACTTATTAACTAATTTATTTTCAGTTAGAAATTAGTTTATTATTCTTCTGTGTTCATTAAAACAAAATGAAAAGATCTAGTACTCTTATCAATTTAGGACTAAATCAAGTTACATAAATATTTCCGAAAATTTAGAAATAAATCTTGACAAAAATAAGTCGTACGTCTTTTAGATTAAGAGGATTAGGAATCGAATAAAGTGAGTTATGGCATGCTGGGAATAGAAATGAAGTTAAACATGAAGTGTTTAGCTTACACCATTTTTAGTAATTCTGTGTGATTCATATAGCAATCATCCTCAATTTTGCCATTTAATTCGTTAGTTTTAATTATGTCAAAAATATTTTAATATTCAGATCAAAGAACCCTTTCTGAATTCAGAATTTTTAACTAAATTGGTGAATATTTCTTTACCTAGTTAGTTTTAAAGTATTTCAACGAATGGAAAACAATGTGTTACGACCTTGATTTAGTGCGTAATTTTAAATTTTTTGGATAAAATGTTAGTTAAAGTATAACCTTTGAAAGATAGTGAATTAATTGAAGACTCAAATCGTGTAGAGAGTTATAAGCAGAGATGGATGGTGGCCAGCAGTGGAATCCAGGATGCGCATTTTTTCCTATTTGGGTCTTGTCATCTGGATGTACCTGCATTTCAAAGTTGATGTTCATTACGAGAGAGTTTCTGTCAGTGAATTTGGTTAAGACTTGCTTAACGAATTGAAAGCGTAATAAAACATATCGGTGAGTTATCATATCTCTGGCTGGTTTAAAAAACATTCGAATGTACAATCTTATTTCTTAAGAAACTCGGAATAAAGATATCCCTGAAAACGTCATATCTTAGGAATTTGATCAAGGCATTTTTACCAAGTTAGTAAGGGCAATGAAGCGAGAGGTACTTGATAACCCTCTGAAACATTTACTAATGGTAATCTTGTAGCTGTCGTCTATGTTGCTGATATTCTTGTAAATTATCAAGTAAAAAGAACAGCTGTGAAGTCAAGGAGTTTGAAAACCTTCACATAACTGCTCATTTCTACATATTAACGCTTACATTCACAAAACTTCAATACATTCTTCCCTCTAACCAGCGATATTTTCTTACCAATTTGCCTGATAAAAATATTAAACTTGATAGATAGTAAAGATTGCTGAAATACTACACGTTACTAAGCTATATCAGAGAAACAAAGCAGAACTACAAAATCTCCTAAGTATTAAAACCAAGCTTTGACTTGGTAGTTTCAAATATATTGGGCATTGGGTTGATTTTTGTTATGACATCTTCCTCTGTTTAGTATGTGTTTGATTAACATTTACAATTGTATAATCATTCTAAATGATTCATAATGACGTACATAATCTACCGAAACATTGTATGAGTGCATCGCATCTGGATTGTGAGGGTGTTAATTCTGTCTAATGAAAGAGTTTCAATGGGTATTTTAATTATAAAGGCATCGGTTCTCTATATGTTTCTGTATTTTCACTCATATTTTAATCTCTATTCCTTTGTCGTCACCTTACATGTTCTTCTTACTCACTTCACTCTAAACTTAACTAAAATTCAGAAGATTCTTTTACTCCTTTACCATTCATATTACCATGTCATCTTTTATCAAACTACATTTACCTACTTCATAAAGCTTACTATGATTTTTTACAGTTCTGTCGCGTCTTTAAACACCCATCTTTACTATTTTTAATTTTACCATAAATTACCAGCTATACTCCACGAACCTCACCCATAAAGAAACAAACTAATCTACAAAAATGTTATTACATTAACTAGTCTAAATAAATATAATTCATTAAAGAATCAGATTTTTAAAATCAAAATTGTCTTCAACGAAGTAGTAAGACCTGGATCAAAAGTAAAATTATTAATTTCAAGTATGTAGATAAGATGGTTTTTAATAATGTAAGTTATGAAGTCACTGACGTATATTATAAATAGTTATTAGAGGTAAATTTTAAACAATATACATTTATTTCGACAATAAAGGAATCTAATGGTTGAAATTATGGGTCGATTTATGTTAAACCACCCTAGAAAACCTGGAAACACTGGACGGCCGTTTCGTTCTAGTATGGAACTCTTCAGCAATGCGCATCCAAGATCCCGCGTGCAGGACGAAACGGCCGTCCAGTGCTTTCAGGTTTTCCAAGGTGGTCTAGCTTAAATCGACTTATGAATTCAACCATTAAATTACAATTTCCATAAACCCTCATTCTGACAATAAAAGAGTCAGTCAATAATAAAAAAACCAATTATCATTGAAAAGATTCATGAATGACAAAATGACAAATTGTTTTTACTTCATATTCATCACCTAAAATGAGCAGACCTTTCCTGTTAAGTAAATAAGCAAATGTTTATTTATTTTGGCATACCGCTGCTCCAGTTCATTATACGTTTACTGATTTTATGATGTACATTTATTCCACCTGACATAATATCCTTTTTAGTTAAAGAAGGACCAATAATGTTCAAATGAACAAGTGTTATATTTAATTTATTAAATAAGATCCCTAGATAGGCATCGTCAATGCGTATTTCTCTAACAAAAGCACTTGCAATAGCAAGACGATGCACCAAGCTTGCACCAATAACATAAGTCAATCCATGATAGTACGGCGGATAAGATATCCATGGAAATTCCTTTACAGTCATTGCCCAGACACTACTTGTTTCATCAACCATTGGTCTGAAAACAGTTCGAGATGAACGGATGTAACCTCCATTCATATTTCTTAAATAGTCTTCAGTATTATTATCATAAAATGTTATTACATTCTTTGGTACTAAATCATAGTCATCATCTATAAACAAATATAAAGGGACTTGTTTTGGACAAAATGCTGAGAGCCATCTTAAACAAAATATCATCTTCTTTGTTAAGTTGTAATATGTATCGTGAAATGATCCAATCAACAAATCATCATATAAATCAGCCTCTAATGACAACTGTTTTACAAAGGGCCACTTGGAACTTCCATAATGTTTAGAAAATCTCCACCACTTCGTATCCAAGACATATGTATTTCCATCAAATCTGAAGGAGTTTGATTCGTTTTCCATGGGGATTCCTAGGACAAATACAAACTGAACACTGAAATTCGGCCATAATTTTTTCTGCATAAATGTTCGTCTTGCACGGTCACGGTATTCGAAGTTATACACTGAAGATTTAATTATTACTATCAGATTTGGAATTAACTCATTGTTGTATGATCTGCAGACAGATTTAGGAACCCGAAGTGCAAACATTTCTGGATTATTGATAGGTTTCTAAAAGATAAAATAGCTTGTACTTTATGTGGAGAATATCGGAAAAATTAAAATAATTAATCATCCAATGTAATTGTTATATATTCTACTTTCGATTAGCTTAATGTGGATTTCCTTTTATCAGTTGTGATATTTCCTAGATGATGGGATTTTATGGAGAGAATTTTTATCTACAGGTGATATTCGTCACGGATCGATCTAAATTTAGCCACTAATGAAAAACAAAAAAACGGGTATATATATATATATATATATATATATATATATATACTTACCGTGTGAATTGGAATTGCATTTTGTATATCATAGATCAGCTTTGAAAAGTTCAAATTTTGTGGAAATATAGAGTAGTCAGTTGAATTCGATCCCATGTATTCTGGTTCCATACCAGTTAATAATTCCTCTTGTTTGTAGCTGTTAGATACCATATCTGCAAATTTATTGTAAAGGTCTTCATCCTTAGAATCTGTTGCATTATGCGCAAGTGAAAAATGTAATGCAAGATTGAAACTATGTAAGCGTTCATCAATTAAGTATGTAACAGAAGATGGTGGCCAACGTTGAGAATATGAATCTAGAGAGATAATTTTTTGATTATTTATCAGATTCAAATATTTAGTACATCTAATCCATGAATGTTTAGATTTGATGCAATTTTTGAAATATTCATTCTCATTAATTTTATATAATGGAGAATGATGAACTATTAATTTTATGCTAGATAACCATATAATGACGAGGTAAATTATACACACACTGCTAATAATAATCAATCCTCTCTGAATTTGTAACATTTGAATAAATGAAATACTAGTTAATACACTAACTAGTTAAGAGAGTTGTAGAACCTCTTAGTCAGCAATATGTATTAATGTAAGTGAATAAAACAAGAAATTTCCAAAAAAAAAATCAGTATGATCTTATTTCTGAATATTGAAAATGGTCGATTTCAACTGTTCATGTTATGTATGTTATTCATGTATAATCTATAAATGGCCATTACTCCGGGTTTAGGGGGTTCAATAACTATTTACTCTCAGTTAGACACAGGAATAGAAGTTTATTTAAAACTTAATTTTGGGTTAGTTTGTCAAAAAATTCAAACATTTAGAGAAATAACTTCAAGTTTCCGTTCATTGAGAGTTATTTTATTGAATAGTTTTTATTGTTAACTTTCTACTGTGCTCATAAAGTTCATTAGGAGAAATAAGCAATCATAATACAGATTTAGCCCTCAGATCAATCACTAATAAAGCATAAAATGAGGATGTGGCCTTCTAATCAAATATTATATATAACAGTCTAACATTTTCTCTGAAGAATATGGAATTTATCAACCTTCGCGGAGGTTTCAAGTCTACCGTTTTATTGATCAGTATTTGAAGGCGAAAACAAAACATTTATATTGTATGGGTAAGGTTTTTTAGGCAGCCCAATAAAATAAAGTAACAAGGGGATATTCCACTATTGTTACTGGTTAAGGTTATAGATTTTGTGTCAGCAAACCGAAGAGGTTACTTGAGTAGTATATCGGAAATTCTGTTAGCCGACGTAATCTTGAAACATGATGGCTAAAAGTAAGGAAGCAAAATTACTTAAGAACAATTTAGATAGGTTTTAAGCTAAGGTAAAACTAACTAGGTAATCCAACCAGAATTATATAAAAAGTTGGAAGTAAAAACTTTTTTAAATACTTCCACTAAAGGACTTTACCTTAAACTCATTAAGAAGGCTAAAAGGAGTGTTACTCTATCATTAGGTGAGTAAGTGAACTTTTTAAGTCACTGAACCAATGTCTGTAACTACGCTTTAAGAAACTCTCTAGAAATTATTGACTACACTAATAATTGAGGATTAATGTTTTATCAAGCTTATGGTATTTATTTAAGAATGTTATACATAACGATAGAATAGGCCTTATATGTAGGTACATCTATCTTACCTAAAGGACCATTCTCAGATTTAACTTAAATTTTGAATGAGATCTACTGATAGATAGACAATAGTATATTGGAGTAGCCATTAGGACCATTACTTAGTTACTCCTTCTTGATGTTAGCAAGAATGCATATTCAAGAGACAATACTAACGATATTTTGAGTATTTACGATGAAAGTTTAGAATCTGACATTTTACTTAAGACATTTAGTGAATCCCATTCACCAGTTCATACAACTCTCCTATGAAAAAGAAATGAAACCTACGATCTCGCTTCTATGTATTCTATCAATAGGATCTCATATGACCTAATATGGCATTAGCGTTAGCTAAATGAATAAGATCCAAGATTTGTATCGACAGAAATAGTTTATATAATTATTTTAGTGATCATGATTATAGTTTCCATCGTATTTGCAAACTCTTTCATTCTACTTTTTTATTTTATTTCAAAATTTTAAATTATATCTTTTCTTGTCCCGTTTGATCAATAAGATCCAACCGTAATACTGTATACAATGTATTAGTCTTGTTATTATTATTACCATTATTAATTTTATTATTATCATGCTATTCCAATTGATAATAATATTTGCCTACCTACACGAACAAATACATTAACGCCTTCCATTGTGAAGTTAAATCTTTGACCGTCTCTTTCTAATATTTCCAATTCAGCCGATTATTATTTACTGCAGTCCATGAACTGAACTCGTTAGTGTGTTTAATAACGGTTATACCAGTCATCACGCGATTGCACATCTCAAAATAAATGGTTTTTCCTTTTCTGAAATATTTATTCGATATTGAAGATAACTTATGATAAACGTACGGCTAACTGATTCATGCATAGTATATTACAATTCACAGTCAATTTACAATAATCTTTAAAGAAAATGACGAAATAAGGGTAAAACCTGTATTATTATTAGAAAATAGCTATAATGTACTTTTTTTAAATTTCAAACAAGAAATTTTATTTTCTGCACAAGAACGATTAAAAACCATATTGAAACTGATAAAAGTTTGTCTATTTTATTCATCTATGATTAATCCACTTGACCAGTCAACAAACTTTCCTCTTGAATATCCAGCGACTGTTATTGCTCTGTACTTTCCATCTTCTGTGTATGGATTGATAGGAAAGTTGTCTAAATCAATAAGAGATTGATTTAATCATTTCAGTTTAATTTTCAAAAAAGCATTGTTGATTAGAAGTTTTCGAGTGATTAATGGAGTATTATGTACAACATTTGTCCCTAAAATATATCATACATCGTTAAAATACGGTGAAAATTGTTCCCAGGGATAATCATCTATCCAAAGTGACCAATGATAATTAAACATGCCTTTCGATCTTCTCACATTTTCAGAATAAAATAGATCTACCGCGATCGACTTGACCTTAAATGTTTTTAGTTCTAGCACTAATTTGTTCCCTGATTTTCATATTAATTAATACAAAATTTTGTAGCGACGTTTAGATTCTTTATCTACTTTCATTACTATTAATGGCAAAGGATGCTAGGTGGATCCAACAAGGATTTTAAATAATAATTGCTTCTCACTTTTGAGTGACAAATCTAAAGTAAACATCCTCACACATATTTTGAATCAGACCGATTCTGATTGCGTCAGGTGTAGACTTAATGAGAGAAGGATTATAGTGATCTTTTACTAATGGTACACTGACTGAACGGATTGTATTCACTTGAGTAACCTTTCTTTTAGCAGCTTGAACAAAAACAATCCACACACTTCACAAAGCTACACACAACTACCAAAACGATTATGTTAGACATACAGACTTTCAGTTTTCTAAACCAACTTTAAGAAACAGTGTCAATTATAAACTGTCGAATGAGTACCCTGGAAACTGATACTAGAACAGAGTACTTGAGGGATTTGAATTGGTGAAATAAAGTATAAAGAGTCACCGTCCAGCAGAGAAGGTTGTTTGAACACAGTGACAGTAATTCCTTTTGATACAACTTCTTTCAGCAGCGTGAATCACGAAAAACGTATTATTTCTTTGTTTATTCAAAGGTGACTTTCAAGCAACTCATATCGTATTTGTTAAGTTAGATAAGCATTAGTGCACTGTATATATGTGGGTACACATTAGAATATGATTGTGAGAATTGAATTTTTAGTAACACCAGCTTTTTTCATTTATTAATGTGCACATAAACATCGTGGACACCTTATGAGATTGTTTGTAAAACAATTTGCTGTCTTACTAAGATTTCATAAGTTTTGATAATCTCATAAATCATTTATATATAAAACCTTGGCAGATATAATACTACAATACTTTACCAGTTCACTAATTTTCATGTTTGCTTTGAAATTTATACGTTTAAGTATTCAAAATATGATTCGTTAAATAACTCATTTGCAACTCGAATCAACCATCCCAAATAATCTTTAATAATTCAGTGATATTAAAATATTCTGGGTTATGTTCATGATTTGTTTTAATCAATAACTTTTCATGTTTAACTTGATATACAATATAATTGCCTGTACGGATTAAATAATACTCATTGAACCTATGTTAGGTTGTATCAGAATTTTTATTTTTATAGTTAAGCTTTAATTGATGTTGAAAAAGATATGAAATGGGACAAAACTAGTAAATCGATTAGAACTTAACAGTATAACAGAATGATCACCAATATTTACAGAATTGAACTAATTTTAAAAAATTGTCAAAATCCTTTCGTTGTTACAAGTACACTAAACGTGTGATGATTACATAACAATTCCTTTGATTATCAGTATAGAGTTGCGGAGATTGTTAATTTTATTTTTGAGATCAATAATTGATTGATGTTAAACTGTTGAGAAGTCCCGTACTAGGATGAAATGACTGTCTAGTGCTTCTTCCAAGTTTTCAATGATGGTCTAACATCAATGGATTCATGATTTCAATAAAAAATAGATTATTGAACAGATGGATAATTAGGGGTGTAATCAATATGAATCCTTTAATTTTACATTTCAATGATCATGATAAAACAGAAATATTCATTAAGTTAGTATACGTGAAATTTTACAATTAAATCATATGAAATCTACTAAAAATATCATGCATATATTTGTTGTTCACTATAAAACATGACACGTTATTTAAGACTAAAATTATCGATTAAACACTTTGATGGTGATACTTATGATTTGAAATTTGTCTTTAGTTCAGATATTTAATTATTACTATGTAATCATTATCAATTTAGTAATATGTTAATTTTAATAGTTGAGATTACGAGTCAGTTGAAGCTAGACCACCATGGAAAACCTGGACTAATGATCTCAACTATTAAAATTATTACAATATCCACAATAAACCCATTCTGATAGTAATATATTAATCATATAATCCTTTCGTTGTTAAATAGTAATTGTTTTATTAATTTTATTATAAATTAATTTGAATCAACATTAATTTATTTCTATCAAAAGAACAAAACTACAAATAATAGTTATGTCTGAATACTTAATAAATTGAGTTAATGAGAAAACAGTATTCTATAAAATTCAGGCTTCATCATTTTTATCGCCTTCAAAACACTCACAGTATGCGATAATTTGAATATCTAAATATCCTTGGAAGTTACAAATAGACTAGTAAGA